ACCTTCTTAACTTCATATAGTAAACATTTTAACAGAAGTATAATAAAATAATATATTATATTGGTCAGAAAATTGCAAAGCAATAGCATGTTTACGATAAATCGACTAATTCCCCTTCCTCTTGTGTGCTTTGTAAGAAAAATTTGACCAGAGTCTGGATTAATATAGAAGTATTTCTTAGCAACTGCATCACCCTTTAGACTGAACTTGAATTGGTTGTCTGGTGCCTGAAATAAGAACTGAATATAGAATCGTTGACTCAATGTCTTCCTTCTAAAAACTAATTTCATTCCGAAGAAAACAGTTAAATCTTCAGACATAAATTTCAACTCAGAAATACGATAATTAAAGAAACCCTATCTCACACAGCCTGAGGTCTTTCAAAGCACTCAATAGCTATAAATATTAGCAGTAGTTAAATAATGGATGTTTTATAACAGAGAAAACACTCTGCTTTTGTATTCCTTACAGTCTGATCCAAGTCTGTAGCATTGACCCTGACAAATACAGTGTATTTTTGCGACTTTTTCTCTGTTAAATAGAATATGATGAAAAAGGCATCATTGTGAAAATACTTCATTGAAATATATTTATCAAGGTATTTTGAATAGTTAAATCAAGCTATATATACTTGTACTTAGCTTAATCAAAGGATAATGTTACAATGTGTAAGGTATGCTGACCATAGGAACAAGAAAACAACTGTAGAAACAGGTAAAGGGTAAGATAGGAGTAAGGTATAACCTCCTATGAAAAAAATAGGTAAATTATAGGGCTTATTTAATTTCATTTTCAAGACTTATGGTTTAGGTTTCAAGAAAAATAAATGTAACCTAGTAGAAGGGCGTTTCCTTCGTGATTGGGAGGTCCGGGTTCGATTCTCGTTCGTTGCGCCGAGTCAAACCTCAGACATAAACATAGATAGTGAATGTTTCTTCGCCAAGCAGTGAAAGTCGTGGGTCTTTCGGATGAGACCTTAAAAACTGAGGTCCCGCATCACGAAAGGCGGTGGCACGATAAAGAACCTTCACTGCTCAAAGGCCCTGAGTGCCGAATATGGGTGATTATAGAAAAATATATTTATAAAGCCCTTAGAAACTTCAAGAGTACTGTGCAACAATATATTCGAGAAGTGGTGTAAATCAGATGTGGATACTTAAAAATTCCAAGGAACTTTTGGAAAATTTGAAATCGCAAGATTTTACCAAAATCAACAGCTTAAAAACTTATGACTTTTCTACTTTATACACAACCATTCCCCACGATAAATTAAAGTCCAGGCTTTTTGATATACTTGACAGCTGCTTTTTCAATAAAAATGGAACTCGTAAATATACTTACCTTGTCATTGGTCATTTGCAAAATTATTTTGTTAAAAAACATTCTGATTGTACACACAAGTACTCTGAAGTTGACATTAAAAAGATGCTTGAGTTTCTGATTGACAATATCTATGTGGTTTTTGGAGACCAGGTCTTCCAACAATCTATTGGAATTCCCATGGGTACCAATTGCGCCCCGTTATTAGCAGACCTTTTTTTGTATTCATATGAAGCAGAATTTGTCCAAAATCTTGTACGTGAAAAGAAGAAAACACTTGCTGTGGCCTTCAACTCGACATTTAGATATATCGACGATGTATTGTCAATTAACAATGGATATTTTCATTCTTATGTCGATACGATATATCCTGGTGAGCTTGAGATAAAAGATACCACAGAGTCTGACACATCTGTTTCATATTTGGATATTTTACTTGAAAAAGACGTTAATGGTAATCTAACAACCAAGCTTTATGATAAACGTGATGACTTTAACTTTTCAATCGTCAACTTCCCTTACTTATGCAGCAATATACCTTCATCACCTGCATACGGGGTATATATCTCTCAGTTGATTCGATACGCAAGAGCATGCTCTACTTATGAACAATTTCTAAAACGAGGTAAATTATTGACAAACAAGTTGATGAAACAAGAATATCAGCTGTCTCGTTTAAAGTCATCATTTCGTAAGTTCTATGGTCGATACAATGACCTTGTCAGCAAATACAATTTATCATTGATTCAAATGCTGACTGACGTTTTTTCATACTAATTGTTAGACCATTATTGACACACTGAATTGTCGACGGATTTTTCCGTTATTTCCCGATCATGACAAGGAGCACACGGCGGGTGTGACCGGTCGGCAGGGGATGCTCACTCCTCCATGGCACCTGATCCCACCTCTGATGTTTAGAGGTCCGTGTTTGCTCTACTCCTATTTTGTATTGTTTAATGGACTTTTGAGCTTGAATACTGTTCGTTATCTCCATATATTTTACTCTATATGAGTGAAAAATTCACGAATGGGACGTTAAACAACATAAAATCAATCAATCAAGAAATATAATGACAACAATGAAAAACAATGCCAAACATTTCACTCTGAACGTAACATTAAAATTTTGTGAAAATTGTCATATTTCAGATGATCTGAAAAAAAAAACAGTATTTGTTTGTGAAATTCTGATGTTCCCGTATGACAGCTCAAGGCCAAGGTTAAAGTTTTTCAAATGTAGGTCAAACTCCCAGATCATGAGGTCAAAAATGTTGGTTCTCAAATAAAGATATTCACATGTGAAATATGAAAGCCCTAAGACCAACCATGCAAAACCTATGGCAAAGATTAATGTTTTTCAAACGTGGGTCATACACCATGATCAAGGTCATGCCTTCAAAACTATATTTTTACCGAAACAAAGGTTTGGTCAGATAAAATATACATTTTAAATATGAAAGCTCTAGCCCAAACCGTTTAAACGTTATAGGCAGTTCAAGCTCTTTTTCAAATGTAGGTCAATCTCCAAGGTAAAGGTCAGGAGGTCAATATGTAGGTACCCAAAACAGGTCTTGTCACAAGGAATACACGTGAAATATGAAAGCCCTAGCACCAATTTTTCAAAAGGTATGGCCAAGGTTAAAGTTTTTCAAAAGTAGGCATACCCATAAATGATGGTACCCAAAGAAAGGCCAGATCACACTTGTGAAATATAAAATACCTAAGCACCGTTATAGACATGTTCAAAAGTTACTGCCATGGTTAAAGTTTTACAATAGTAATTCAAACTCCAAGGTCAAGGGTCAAGAGGTGAAATATTTTGTCACAAGAAATACACGTGAAATATGCAATTTCGGTGTCCCAGTGATTGGGATGCAATCATTTATGGCTTATTGTAACTGTCTTGTTATGTGTCCTGTTTTGTCTGTCCATCATACGAAAAGAAATATAAAGGTTACGGTCAAGATAAAAGCTTATCATACCTGCATCAAGATCAAGTTCATGAATTCAAATATCATAATACAATCCAAAGTCTTGTCAAAGGAATGCACATGTAATAAAAATGTGAAAGCCCTGTCTCTTCTGTAGCAAAATTTATGACCAAAGTTTATTTTTTTGATACGTAGGTCAAACTTCTAGGTCAAGGTCATGAAGTCAAAAATGACTGTTCTTTCTGAAAGGTGTTGCCATAGATTAGATATTATAAAAAAAATTGAAAATGGTTGTAGGTTAAAATTTGAGGTTAAGGACATGAAGTCAAAAACTAGAGTGCACTCCAAAAGGCATTGAAAAAGGTAAATGCACGTCAAATTTAAAAGCCCAATCTTCGCACATTCAATACTTATCAGCAATGTTAAAAGTTTTGAAAACTAAGTCAAACATCAAGGTCATGGGGTTTTAAAACATACTATATTTGGAAAGGTCTTGTCACGGGTCTTGTTAATTTTTTAAAGTAAGGTCAAACTTTCAGGTCGTTGCATATAAAAGTCCATAGTAAAATTGGAAAGGTCTTGTTACAGGTAATGCACATGTCAAATATGAACACCCTATCTTCTCTCATTCAAAAGTTATAACCAATGTTAACATTTTGGAAAGGTAGGTCAAACGTCAAGGTCAAGAGGTCAAATATTATAGTATACGCATATTTGGAAAGGTCTTGTTACAGGTAAAGTACAAGTGAAATATGAAAGTTCTTTCTTTTCTCATACAAAAGTTATGACCAAGGCTAATTTTTTTTTTTTTTTGATAGACGGACAGACGAATGAGATTAAATGTCCCCTCGCTTTCGCGAGGTGAATACAAATATCTATTTGTGATTATTTTGAAAATATTCAATATGTAAATGCACACGAACAAGGTATCAATATAACAAAACCGCACGGACGAGCAGTACCGTTTAGGATTTCTACCTCTGCATTTTTCTATCGCGTTTGTACAATTCTCCCGTTATTCATCCTTCCTCCCTCTGGATTTTCTTCCAAGAGTACGGAAGTCAGTTATCAAAATAATGTTAAGTAAACATATCTTACTATTTTGGCATTTTTACTTCCGTTCAAACATTTTCCTCCTCTTAATTTTCTTTTTGATTATTTTTTCTTCAGTCATTTTCCCTTTCCTTGATTTTCTTCTGCAATGGACGCCAGATATTCAAAACATTGTTTCTGATTTTACGAAACGGGGAAAACTCCTTTCGCACTGTTATTTTTCTGTATATATTATCACTTTTGAAAGATATAGTTTGTATATTCTTTGATGGAGAAAAAAATTCGCAAATGGAGATTCTGGAAAAAGGCTAAATATAAAACTTGGGATATCTTGGGAAAATGGAAAGTTAAATATTTTACACCACAGCTTGAATCCCTATGCTATATATATATTGATAAAGAAAAAAACCAAGTTAAAAGTGTCAAGGTAGCTAAACTACATTTTGATTAGCTAATTTTCCTTTGATACTTCGGTTTTTAAATCTAAGAATTTTTTTCAGATCTCCATAAACATTTTTTTTTTTTGCCAATCAATATATATCAGCGATAAAATATTATGGATATTCTTATCCAAATTTTAATAAAACAGAAATTTTAAAATAACGCATTCCATTAGATATCAACATGATCAGAACAAAAATAACTTTCATAGATATAGGAAAGAAATATTACACAATAAGACTCTAATGCATAAATATTCCCAAGTTTTATTTTCTGAAAAATAAAAATATGGAAAATTTACCGTTTTAAAACAAAAATCAAACAATGTCAATGCGTTAAAATAATACCCCCCTCATTCTAAACAAAGTGGTCAAATTATTTTCTGTGGCATTTTAGATGAGGCTACTATTGTTGGTATATTTTTTTTATTCTTTCTTTTTTACTTTTTTAAGTCTAGGATTTTACTTGGTTAGATTTCTGATAATTTAGGTTGATTTTCTAAACAATATTTTTAAAAATTTTCAACACTATATTTTGACACATCTCAAATAGTTCCAAAACTACAAGAGAACACAAAGTGTTAAATTCTATGCATGAATAAATTACTTATCAGGTCATTCATTATGTTAACAGATCGGCAAGTAGAAATATTCAAATTTTCAAGTTTAACAATTGCACCATCAACCCTAAAAAATTCTGCAGTTTTATTCATCATCAGTCGAAGGTTCTGCCAAAAGATCTAACTGTACTTCATAACTCTTTCCAGAAAATATATCTTTAGCTTGAAGTCGTAGTTCAGTCTCTCCAAATATCATACTTTCTTCCAATTCAATTGATGCACCATCTGGCAAATCTGGCAGGGGTATAACTAAGACGCCCAGGCGATGACATCCTGGATCATCCACATATTTGGGATCTTTGCTATCGGAGATGTAAATTGCACACTCTAATTTCTTCTCCTTTGGGTTTAATGCTTGAAATATTTGTGATTTTTCATATCCAGCGGTCAAATGTTGTCCTTTTGTTATATACTTGAAGAAAACATCTTTACACCTAGCCCTTCCATTGACCTCCACCTTCTTGCTCTCTGGGTGTTTTGTTGGGTTGAACTCGGGCCAGCTTTGGATACCATATGTGTATCGAGCTGTTCGTCTAGATATCGCATCAGGAATGTGTCCAAAATATACAGCACCTTTTAAAACAGAAATGCCTGCGTCGTCAGGGACAACTACACGTTTCATTTTGAAACCCTCTCGAACAGCTTTTTGGACCACTTCACATTCGGCAAAACCGCCTACCATTAGAATTGTTTCCACGGCTACCATATCACTATCGTACAAAATTCCTCGTAAATGTTCCTTAATTTTTTTAATGGTGCTTTCAAAGAAACGAAGAAAATCTTCATTTTTCCACTTCAACTTCCAGTTTTCAAAAGTGACTTTTCCTGCATGTGGGGACATTTCAATAGCTTTTTCTAGAGATTTCCGAGATTTATCTCTTTTGACAATTTGTACAAGACCCAGTGGAACGGATAGATGTGTGTTTCCTTCTTTCCCTGGCTTAGCTGATCTCTTCTTTAACTCAAAGTTCCTCATTAGTTCTAAATAATCATCAAAAGATGACTTCTTTAACTCTTTCATGGATTCCTCTCCAATGATTTCCTCAATATACTTTTCAAATTCGTCATCCACAGATTTACCGCCCCATGGTCCACCACTGGCCTCCCTCATTTCCTCCAAAGATCCGTCATCAATTTTGTGATGCACTGTTATGTCTGCTGTACCCCCTGAAAATGACAGGTAGTCGAAAGTTGAAAAGTTATGGCCTATAAAATATTGACATTTATACTGAAATGTATGCAAGTTTTATACTTGTTCATTTCATACATGTAGTATAAAAATCATTTTAAACAGTGTTAAATGAATAATTCTGAAGAACAACATTGTGACGTTTTTTAGCTCATTCCTAATTGTATATACTACCGAAAATTACTTCTGGTTCCTAAAAATGTAATTGATAATAAACTTTAGAAGGAATTTCGTGGGAATCATTTCCGAATCATTGATTTGTAATCTACAATTTAAATGATTCCATAGAGACTTCCTTTTATTGTTTCAAAAATAACTACATGTACATTAGGAAGTTATCTGAAAAAATCGTAAACAAGTTTTTTCTGGAATGAAAACTAAGCAACACTGCATTCTAAAATCTCCACTACTCTTTAGTATATTTTTCTTTGATAAACATTATGTAGCAAATTTCAAAATAAATATATATCAGGCCAGTAGCAACGGTTTCAAAAGTGTGTGGGGGGGGGGGGACTTCTCAAAAAAAATCTGACAAGAAACTCTACAGGAAGATTTACAATAGCAAAAATACTACACTCAGAAAAAATGGGGGGCTGCCCCCCCCCCCCCCCCCCTCGCGTTCTACGGGTCTGTATGTGCAAAAAAAAAAAAAAAAAGTTTTTTATGCTACATGTATGTGTGGTATAGCTTGCAGTGCACTTAATGCCATGTCATATCATTCTCTGTTAATAGTAAAAAATTGGATCAGACCACACAATTTCGGGAATTTTATTGATGCACGGTACTTGATCTTCCATCAAGAGACTAGCGACCAGTCACGCACGTATATGGAACCTTCAAAAGATTTGCATTAGCATGTTTTAGATAGTACTCTTACTACATTCTACTAAATAGTTTTTGGACGGTCTGCAGTGATAGCGTCTTTTTTCTGTCATCAAGAGAAATCATTAATGCTCTCCGGTGCACCATAAAATCAACAAACCATTTTTCGAATATTGCGTTTCCCACTTTCCCATTTCAATATGCTCGAGAAATTGATGAAAATAAAAAAAAAAACGCTTTGAAATTTTCAAAATGACCACATACAATGTAGATAGTGACTTAAAATATGATAATTTTTATGCAAACTTTCTCTATTTCATACTTTTATTTCGAAATGAGATGTGCATATTCTCCGATGAAACCTGATTTTTTAGCCGTACCACACCATGTGCAAATTCAAATTTAACAAAATTCATATTTTTGACTAAATTTTAAAAAGAAAATTAAGATATATATGTACATGGATATGACAGATAACCATTTACTGAAAATTTCAGCTCAATAAGCACAGTATTTTTTCCATAAGAACATGTTGTCCATGATTTTACCAGACAACTCTCGAATACTAGTATGTACAATATTATAACGGATTAACTTTATTCACCGTATACAACGGGTAATGCGGGAGATCGAGTCGCAAGAAAGTATGGGGAATACGTTTTCAATGTATGGAGTATAATAGTTTCACCGCTTTGGACGCCTTTTTCGGTATTTTGAAAGATGTCTTTACAAAAAAAAAAAATATCCAACGGAAGACAGCAATAGTTAAGCTTTGTCACCAGGAAACTATTCTATGCAAGATAAGAATTTTGATCTTGATCTTTTGACCTAAAAATCAAAAGGAGTCCTCCTTAAGTCTTAAAAAACTGAAGTGATTATCTGAAAACCATTTTTGTGTTGTATGAATTCCTGACCTTGACCCTCGAGCTTTTGTCCTAAAATTCAATAGGAGTCTTTCTTAAGTTACCAGGAGCTATGATATTTAACTTCACTGAAAAAGCTCAAAGAAAATATCATCTGGAAAATGTTATTAGCAATGATGTATAAATTTCTGACATTGACTTTTTGATTTCAAAATCAATATGAGTTTTCTTTAAGCCATAAGGAATTGTGATATAAAATTTCATTGAAAAAGCTTGCCCAGGAACAAGTTTTACACAGAGAAGGAAGGCATATTAAATTTATGACTTTTCCTTTGACCTCAAAATCAACTGGGGTCTTCTTTATAGCTATGGGAAGTTGTGATACACAATTTCATTAAAAAATTTCAAGGCTTTTTCGATATATTTCCCACAATCAAAAGTGTTACACACAGTTGGAATAACAGACATCTACAAATATGGACAGACCCAAGTTAATATCCCACTGAAAGAAGGGCACAAAAAAGTTTAAAGACTTATCTGTGTAAGAAACACAAACCTCCCAAATCAGCAACTAAATACTTGCTCCCAACAGCAAGTTCTCCAAGATATTTAGATCTGGAAAGATTAAGGTCTTTAGCTGGTAGATACTGACAATGAATGGATGCAGCCTCTGGCTCTAAAGCTATAGTCAAGGAAGATCGCTCAATCCCAGCCTGTGACAAAGAAAAAAAAATCATGCCTCTTGTGGAAGAATACATGTAGGTAGGACAGAAGAGCTTTTTACTGAAAACAATGAGATTAAGATGACATGCACTGCACCAGATTTTTTTTAACCTTGATCCATTTCCAAATTAAAAAAATATATTCTTCCTACCTCTCGTGCAGCTTCTCTCATGAACTGCTTTGATCTGTCATCCCAAATGGCAGGCACAGTTATAACATATTCAACATCTGATTCCTTTATATCTGGGTAACTATTCCTTAGAGTCTTCATCAGGTCACCCACCAAAAACTTTATAGATATTTTAAACACTTTAATGGCTTCCATTTCTTTACCTGAGGCATCTTTCAGTTTTGTTTTTCTACTTATCACCTAAAATGAATAAAAAAATCATTAATGTCTTTACATTGTTCAAACCTCCTTATTAAAATATTTTCATTTTTTATCACACTGAGTTAATTCTTCAAGCAAAATTTTATCATTTTATCAATCTGTCATCACTTTATTACAGTGTGATTTACTAATGCAATCAGCATAACAAAATTAATGCATGTCATTGACCTGTAACTGTCAATTTTTCTCAGGACCACCATATTTCCAATAAAGATGTCAAATATTGTACAAAACTTGTATTTTGGTTTCTTAAGTCTCAATCTTTAGAACACTTTATGCCTTTGAAGTAGCTGCAGATCTGTAGCTTGCTGGTTTCAAAAAAAAAAATTGGGATGGATGACCACTGAGCAGAGAGCTACTGATCCATCCATTGAAAAAATGTACATTATTTTATTCTGCACAAAAAAAAATGTTTATGTTTCTTGATTTATTTCTCTGTATACCAATATATAAGCTGTCATCTCAAAATATTACTGTGTGTTCCTGACAATTTTTTTTAATACTTCCTCAACTAAATGTTCCAAAAACCTTTTTAATAGCCCTTGATCCATGAAATTGAGGCTATTGAAACTTTCGTTTATTTGTATACTGCCATTTTGGTTAGGCTATTTTCAACATGCAACAATACAGTTATCATATGTTTGAATGTATTATCATGATTATTTAAGAAATAAACAACAATGTTGAAAAGTTCTCTGGGAAATGAACTTGGTTGGTCATGTGATCAAATCCCGAGGGGCTTCTCAGAAGATTTTATTTACATTTGAGATGAATATTCTGAAAAGAACTGCATTTATTACATGAACAGCCCTCTGTATTGCTATGTTGTGACGTGCAATGACCTAGAGGCTGTTTGGTCTTGAGAGTTCACCTCGCTCCAACATTTGAATACATACATTGATGTTCAGCAGTCCAGTTCAGGAAATATCTGTTCATATTGAAAAAACCATGATCGCTACTGAGAATAATCTTACTATTATTGTATGAGTTCTTAATATATGAAGTCAAAAGCAGTGGTATCGTCTTCAGTTTACATACCTTCAAAGGAATTTCGGGTTAAAAAGGTAAGCATGATTTTAGGCTAATCAAAAACATTCTTCACACCAAAGAAAGATCTAATGATCATTTGTTGAACAAAAATAAACATATATGTTTCAATAATTTTATCTTTTTCATCCATTTAATGGCTTAGAAGTTCCAAAACCAGTGTCACCGTGACAGAAATATGTAGACAAGATATCATCTCGCTGTGTGATTCAGTCACGCCATGACCTCTGACCCCCCAATAAGTTCATACAGAATTGAACATATTTTCTCTTCAATAGGTTCATCTAAGAAAAATATTTGCAAATGTAAATAGAATGTTATGTATTGCATTTGATATTATACATACATGTATATCACATTGCTTTGAGGGTGACATAGTAGAACATTTGCCCCAAGGTGACAGAAAAGCCCTGTAGCGTGTTAATAAGTCACCCAATGCCGAAGGCAGAGGGTGACATAACACTACGGGGCTTTCCTGTCAACTTGGGGCAAATAATCTGGTATAGTCACTTGAGAAGCCATATGGTATATGTTATATAACATTTTTAAAATAAGAAAATCGTCTTAATCATTAAAGTTAAGATAAATAATGTGAAGATGTTTTCATAATTTTTATAACCATGCTCCATTGTTAATGTTTGTTTAGCAACCGACATCAGTAAATCTCAAATCCAGGCTATAATGTGTGGCATAAAAGCACGCAAAGATGATCGGGAGGGTTTTATACCACTTCCCCTGAGTGTTATAACTGTTTCTGGTGTGATTCAGCATTCTTCAGGGTATATATTAAAACTTATTACATTTGTGATATAATAGAAAAACTTATTCAAAAATGATATATTTGTTTTTAATGCATACTTCGCAGGTGCTTAGTAATAAATACAGGTGTTTTTTTTATGCATATGTGATGTGCCTGACGTCACAATTGCCATATCAGCTTTGTAGATCGATTTGGATCCTGCAATGCTGATACGAATCCTGCAGTGCTGATATGGATCTGTGAGGCTGATACATGTGTACCTAGTTTTTTGTTGGTATTCTCTTAAATTTTAAATTACTGTTCTTTGCTATAATATGTTTGTCAGTGATTATTTATATATGTTTGTTCGAGCAGATGTGTGATGTATTTCATTGCTAAGTATGTAACAAACATAATAAAACATACCCTTTTCCATATCACATCTTGTGTCACCCCTCAAGATCGACCAATATCAGCCCTCAGCCTTTAAACCCTCTGGCTGATATTGGTGTCACAGAGTGATACAGGATCTGATATGGAAAAGGGTATACATTATTGTCTATTTATTTTATGTCTGTAGCTGATAAATTTTTCAAACTACATGTATCATATGATCTGATAAAAGAAAACAATACTCTTGTATTTCCTTATCATCTAGTCAGCCTACTTTGCATAAATTTGATGACCAAATTATTTTTTTTAAAAATAGAGTATTAAATAAAAGAAGATAATAATCGAGTACTTGCTTTTTCGGAATGTAGTATCATTTTAAATCGATGAAAGAAATAATAATCCTCATGTTCTTCATCTCGTGCCAAGTCTATGTACTGGTCCTCGGCCTCGTATCCAAAGGCCTTAAACGTTTGGTCCGCATCTAACAATAAAGCTGTGGGGGTCTTTAAGGTGACAACCTTCCCCCCAGTCCAATTACTGGTCAAAACTTTGGACCAATCCGAGGTGGAGGAGAAGGCGTATCCCGAATAAGTTGTCCCAAAGTCGATAGCGGCCACAAAGAGCTTTCTGCATTTTGACCTGACAGAACCTGGGGTAAAATCAATGTAATAGATCAGCACATTCACATGGAAGTGTGATCTCATTTTAATGATCTTGTTCTAAGACAGAGACATAAATAACAGTTAGTGTTATTTTTGTATCTGTTCCATGAGGAAATTCGAACTACGAACTTAAAACCGAAAGTAGACTAATACATTCAAGTCGCTGGTTTTGAAGTATGAGACAACTATGGTCTAGATTCAAATTTCTTTTTCTTTTTAATCTTTCATAATTCTTATGATATGTTTTTCATTTTCAATTATACAAAGAACCTCAAATAAAACCACTTACTATTTAGATTCGACATTTTATTCCGGAAATCATGGGCAGAAAACTCGTGCTGTTCTTCCTTCCTTCTTGAAAAAATAAAAGTTGAGTAGTTCTATAAATAGCAAAATTCTGAATAATTCAACTGCACTGTTTACGGTGGGTGGTTATAGGACATTTTATCAGATTTTTTTGTGTAAAAAATAGTGTCTGCAAAAATAAAATTCGTGGCCATGAAATAAAATTCGTCGCCACAAAGGAAAATTTCGTAGCCTTGAAATAAGAAATTACCTTATCTATAACATAGGTATTTATTTGTACGAAAGTCTATTAGTATACGAGGCGTCGGAACCGGGGGGGGGGGGGCTTAGCCCCCCTTTTTTGGCAAATATGGACTTAGCCCCCCCCCTCCCCCCATATAAAGAATACTGAAAAAAGCCTTTGTGTGAAACTTTGTAATTAATACATTTGGAACGAAAAAAACCTGTCTTAAATACTACTTTGATAAAGAAAAAATATACCTTTATAAGCAAATAAATGAGAAATATTTAATTTGCATTTTTTCTATGAAAATTCAGTGTAATTTTCTTTATGAAATCCATTGGAAATCTATAACATTCAATACCTTTAACACACGCAAAACCTTGTCACGGCGCGGTAGAATAAATACACAGTAGGAACTACATGTAGGCCTTTCAATAACTGTAGGAACACCAAAATGTATATTGTTTTTGCGCAATTTAAGGACATGTACGCAACGTAGTTTGAACTTTATTGTCTTTTCCCCTGGAGTTGAAGAGTTCCAATACTTAAAGGAACTGTGTGCTACATTTTAATGTCTACATATGCTGTTGTACACTTCTTTTGAAACAAGTTTGGATAAACAAAACATCTAGAATGTATCTTTAGTAATTTTGTATATTTTTCTTTGAATTATACAAAATTTTCATCAATTTATATCTTTTCAAAACCCCTGGTAATGCATGCTGATTTTTTGTGTACAAACATCTGATGGCACTATGATTTTAAATTAAGATTATCTTAAAAAATTATCAATAGGTAAGGTACGTTGCGTATGTCCTTAATTAAAAATAATTACGTAGTCCCTATTAAATTATTTTAAAAAGATATCAGAATTATATATATATATATATATATATATATATATATATATATATATATATATATATATATATATATATATATATATATATATATATATATATATATATTTGTCATTTTTTTCCCCTCCCAATATTCGTTTGCGTATAACTTTCCAACGTCACAACGACTCTTACTCTATTGAGTGCGAAATTCATAATAAAGATGAACGAAATTAAATTAGAGAATGATATAGGCTAACGCGCGGTATTCAATTTGTCGGCACGGACAGGTGCTGTAAATATATACGAAAGCCCATTGAGCTCATTTTCGTAGGTTAAAAAAATATATTTTTCGCGTTTTAACGCAAAACTTTCCCTGTAAAACAGAGACATTTGCATAAATCTCCATTTTCTTTTTAATTTAATGATCTAGTTTATTCATTACAAAAAAAAAAAAAAAAAAAAAAAAAAAAAAAAAAAAAATGAAAGACTATTTTGAACTGGGATTATCACAAGCTAAAATTTTATGTTTTCTCGCCATTGAATGCGTCTTTCCCTTTTCTAAATCTTTTTTGCCGTCACATTTTGACTTTCTCACCGCTGTTCAAACATTTTCAAAGTCTATGCGAGTTTTTCCAAAGTGAAACTCTATAATTATGTATTTCGGGAAAATGCCTCCCTTTCCGGCGTCATTTATAACACTCTCTATAGAAATTGAAATAAAATTAAGATCTCAGAAAATTGACAAAAAGAGGTAAATTTGTATATTTTACAAGACAATTGTGTCAAATCATATGAGTAACCTAATGTGAAAATTGGATGACAATTATTCGTATCAATATATGGGTCATTTTCAAAATTTGTCCAATTGTCAGTGAAACAAGCTTTCTTGTAAATATTGCAATAAAATCACAATTTTTTAGCTGATGAATTTGACAAATATCCACAAGTGAAAAAAAAAATTAAGTACAATTAAAAGTTGATTTGAATACTGAAAAAAGTCCCTCCCCCAACCTTAGTTAAGTTAAAGAGATTTGCTTGTGATTTTGCCAGAAGTATGCCGGCCTTCAACTCTGATTATTGATGCAGTAAATATAATTAGGCAGTAAAATATACACGCTATATAAACGCGATATTTTATGTGAAACAAAATGATTAAAGGATTTGAGAAACATGATGTGTAATAAAAAATAATTACTTTCCACAAAGTTTTACTAAATAAGTCGTTGTAATTACAAAACAATTAAGCAAGATCTGCAATTAAGAATTCAGCCTATTCATGAATATTGATAAAGGAAGTGCGTAAACAGTATATAGACACGCATGCATGTCCGCGGGAAATCATAGAAGGTAGGCCGTTTGGTATACAAAATAACTTTTGACATGGATGGCATACGTTTTATGCTTAAAGATACTTATCTTTGAAAACAACCAGTATTAACCATCTACTCAGTCTGTAATGACAGATATTAACTTTTATTCAAAATCGCTGTCAAAATGCAACGTACCTCGTCTCGTTTTCTTGACGCCATTTTTGTTTATCAATCTAAAATTAAAGTAGCGACGGTGTCACATGATGCATGAATTTAAATAGAGGCATTACTTTCCTAGTAGGATAATAAATAATTATAATTTGAGATCTCCAATTTCCAATTGTGTAATTTGCAATATTTTCGTAATTTTATTTGGTAAACAAAGTAAATAAATTTCCAACTTTATTTTTAACTGACGCCAATTATAGCGTGTATATCTTTAATGTATTGTACATGTTTAATACTGTCTAAATGCATGCTAAAATGCGACTGAAAAGAGTAAGAATATGATTTCTTTTAATGGTAAATGTTTGTTATAAATTTCCACCGTGTCCTTGTTGTAACCAAGACATTAAAGTTATCTATAACAGTTCAAGGAACTTTTCACTTTCAGCCTCCTTCTTTTGATCTTGTTCCCGCCGAAATATAATAAGACAAAACACAACTCTTTCACACCACAGACACAATATTTGGTTTAAGTTAAGTTTGATTGCAAGAATTATTTTTGAGTCCTAAGAGTTACTTAGTTATTGTGATGATGAATTAATTTACCATTTCTTTGATGCATTGAGCGAATTTGTAGTAAAATACCTATCATCTAGGAGCTGTGTTCTATCTTCATAAGTCAGCTATTGTTTTTAAATTTCCAAGTATAATAATTCCCTGACGTTACTGTCCATTTTGCTGCTGCTGCAAGAAAAGTTACTCAGAGGACGTATCTAATTACTCCATGGACGATCTACACGGAAATTAATTAAAAAGAATTCAATTTGGAGTCATCTGTTTCATTTCACTTCAAAATCATACGCTGTCCGTTTTAGATATTTTTTATATTATCAACAATCAAAATGAATTTGAATTACCATATCTTTACTAGATTCCTAAACGTCATAAAAATCCTTACAAACAAAGATACATAGATAGTTCCAGTAAATGTTCTACCAAGCCTCTTTCTTTACTCCTCGATATTTACTGTAATGAAGGAGAAACTTCAGGAATACTGTACAACAGTATATTCGAGAAGTAGTGTAAATCAGATGTGGATATAAGTATCCACATCTGATTTAATACTCCAAAGAACTTTTGGTAAAGGATGAATCGTTTAAACGTCCAAATCTGGCCCCCCGATAATTTACAAAAAATTAAATTAAAGATTTTCTACACATTTTTGCCTCAATCTTTCCATCAAACATTGTAGTTTATTAATTTCAATTTCAATTTTTACTTCCTTGCACAGTAATTAGGTATTTATGTGATTAATATAGCAGGGGTATGTTGTTTACATCGATTTCTCATAGACTTTAGGCCACACCCCCATTTTGCAAGTCCATTTTTTATATGAGCGCATGGATGTTTCAAGTTGTCGTAAATACGGTCAATGTAAAGAGTTATACTAGTCATTTACATTCATGAAAGAAATTGAAACAGTCTTGCGCTCATTTGTTATTTTCCAAAAAAGGTGCAAAATCACTGGTGCTTGTCTCCATAGTAAAGGCACCTTGTTTACAAATTTCAACCCGTCTTTGACCTCATGAATAACAAAGCACTGAACACGTGACTCAAATCTATTCACTTCCACGCTTTGAGCACACCTATGCGACATTGTGTCTGCGAGCTATCGATGGTCAAATCATTTTTCAAATGGGTAATTAAAATTCTGGGAGAAAACTTTTTTATGATTAAGATGTGTTAAGATTTTTGATTTATTTGTCATCAAACGGTATTTCAGTCGATTTTATTTGATTTTTTTCGGTATCTATCAATTTATATTGAAGTCCTGTAGCATATAGCTTGCACTTACTGCTTGTGTCTCATAAATACAGAATTTTAAAATTTAAATTACTGTGGGTATATATTATACATTTGCCCTTGTCCCTAAATATACATCAGTGCTCCGTTCATTGACTTGGAAGATATGAAAGTTTTTTTTTTTCAGTTAAAACTGTCATTAATTTTATAGTCCGTTATTTGAAAAACACCAATTCATCATATCTTTACAAAAATAAATTGTTTGTTACAAGTGCACAAATGCATACTTCCAATAGAAGAAACCTTCAGGGAAAGAAATTGAAGTACGGAGCGCTAAAAAAAAACAAAAAAACCTGTGTATCGGATGAAAAGTCACTGGATGAATACATTTGCACAAAAAACACCCCTAATTTGAATAGAGGGAAGCTACGGTTTCTTCTGAAGCAAATGCTATAACTTTTTACCTCGGCACAAAATTTCACTTTTTTTTTGGCAGATCATGTAAAAAAAAAAGTCCATGTTCGCAGCTATTTTTAAAGCATAATGTTTAAAAGCAAGAACATGCATTTGTATGACCCTTTCACATGTCCGATCAACGTAGATATTAGTAAAAAAAAAAAAATCAGTCGAATGAAAAAGGGCGTTAAAAATACTTCGGAGTGATTTAAT